ATAAAGCCAAAAAGCAGAATCAGATGAACCATCAAACAATGGAGGACTGGCTAAAATATTGTGGTACCACTGTTTCATGAAATATTTAGCTGTCTTTTGAAACATTTTAGAAGATTCTTTATTGATCTGTGCCTGTGCCTATGACCATAGCATCCAGTGAGAAAAGACAGAAAATCCTTATTTTTATGCTTGGAATTGTGGTCAGTTAACCCAACACCCTTTGGCTTCTTTCCCACACAAAGGCCTCTGGTTCATGAGAATGAACAGCTTGAACTGTCTAAGGGGACTGAAGGAAGGCCCCGATCACAACCCGGTACCTGGTGGAGGGAGGAAGGAGAAGACCAGGAGCTGCACTAGGCCCCGGGCATCAGATGCTCACCTCTTCTGCAGCTCCCAGCCAAGGGAGTTATAAAAACAAGTAGGTGCTTCACAGCATCAAACAAAACTGAGAGGTCACCTGGGGGGCAGTGGCTCATGCCTGTAATCCCCGGACTTTGGGAGGCCGAGGCAGGTGGGTCGCTTGAACCCAGGAGTTCAAGACCAGCCTGGGCATCATGGTAAAACCCCGTCTCTACCAAACAAACAAACAAACAAAAAAACAAATATTAGCCAGTTTCATAATCCGGTCTCAAAATAAATAGATAGATAAAAATTTTAAAAAAACAAACCAAGATGTCCACGAGAATGATGGTGGCTGGCACACTCACGGATAGCAGTTTCAGTGGAGTCATTTTAGTGGGCCCCAAAGTTGACCACTCTGTAGGCAGATCCGTAAGCTGAGATTTTAGGAGAGTTCATAAAGCTCCCAAGCAGAATAAGGAGAAGGAGACTCAAAGGCTGGAGATACTGTCTCTACTTAGGATTGTGCCTGGAGGTGAAGGCCTTCTGGCACCTTCCCCAGTAAGTCTTGGACCCCTGGAGCAAGGGCTGTCCATCAGAGGACAACCATTTCTGCCACTTGACTCAAATGATGGATTATTATTCCAAAATCTATGTGGTCACTGAAGAACTGTAAAGAACAGTCCCTAAATCCTCGGGGAGCCTTACCAAGCTCTCCTCCCCTCCCCCCTGCCCACAGAGCTGCCCAGAGGAGACAGGGCTCACCCTGCTGCTTCTGGTGGCCATCACGTCTCTCTGCAGGGGGCACTGGCTGTTCTGTAACAAATAAGTCAGCACGCACACACTGCCAACGACGACGGCTCCAGCTAAATAGATGCTGAGGGGAATTTCATTTTTTCCCCCAAGTCGGTCTTAGGCACCTTATTCAATTAACACAGTCACTAAGCTGCAGACAGCTCCATATAAAAGCCCTTCAGTTATAGAATACATTTTATTATGTGACAATAGTTGCCAGCACGATTTATTTCCTTTGATGGGATTCTGCTTTTTCCTTGTTAATTTAAATCTGTATTTTCTAGTGCTGATTCCAGGTCTGTGTGAATTTTTAAAATGTTACCATTAATCTTGTGAACCCAGTGGCCACATATAATGAAGACGGCTCTGCCCAGGCAGCTGCAGAGCCTGGTGTCCTCCCAGACTGTCAAAGGGCAGCGTCAAGGGAGTGGTGATTAGCAAGGAAAAGGCGCGCTGAGAGTCAGAGGCAGTCACTACTTTTGTCTCACACCCCTTACACACACACACACACACACATACATACACACACGAATCAGAGGCAGCCACTACTTTTCTCACACCCCTTACACACACACACACACATACATACACACACGAGTCAGAGGCAGCCACTACTTTTCTCTCACACCCCTTACACACACACACACACACACACACACACACACACACACATGCCCCAAACTTTATGACACAAAACTACAACTCCCATTTCATTTTTCTGAGCTGAATGTTGTATTAAAACCACCTTCTGGGGCTGCAGTTTTCAATGGCGTTCCCAAAATGGGGCCCAAAATTTTCAGGGAGTCCACAAGATCACAGCTATTTTCATAATAATGAAACGACACTTGCCTTTAAAAAAATAAGATACAGAAAAGCACAAACATATGTGTATTAGTCGGGGTTCTCTAGAGGGATAGAACTAATAGGATACTGATAAAGGGGAGTTTATTAAGTATTAACTCACATGATTACAAGGTCCCACACAGGCTGTGTGCAAGCTGAGGGGCAAGGAGAGCCAGTCCAAGCCCCAAAACTGAAGAACTTGGAGTCCGACATCTGAGGGCAGAAAGCATCCAGCACGGGAGAAAGATGTAGGCTGGGAGGCTAGGCCAGTCTTGTCTTTTCACATTTTTCTGCCTGCTTTACATTCTACCCAAATTGGCAGCTGATTAGATGGTGCCCGCCCAGATTAAGGGCAGGTCTGCCTTTCCCAGCCCCCTCACTCAAATGTTAATCTCCTTTGACAACACCCTCACAGACACACCCAGGATCAACACTTTGCATCCTTCAATGCAATCAAGTTGACACTCAGTATTAACCATCACAATATGCAAGGAAAAAACAATCAATGAATTTGACTTCATCAACAGTTAAGATTCTTGCTCTCCAAGATGCTGATACAAAAATAAAAGGCAAGCCACAGATCTGCAGAAAATATTTATAAAACATGCCCAACTAATATCTAGGATATATACATAACTCTTACAACTTAATAGAAGACAACCCAGTTTTAAAATGGCCAAACAATTTCAATGGACTCTTCACTGAAGAAAATCTAATCAGTCAATCAGCGCATGAAAAGATGTTCAACAACATTAGTCACTAGGGAGATGCAAATTAAAAGTACAACAAGATACTACTATATGTCTTCTAGAATGCAAAAATTAAGTCGACTGACAGTATCTACCACTGGCAAGGATGTGGAGATGGGGAGCAGCTGGAACTCTCATGCTCTGTTGGCGGGAGGGAAAATGGTATAACCACTTCAGAAAACAGTCTGCAGTTTTTAAAAAAGTTAAACATACCCTATCATATAACCCAGCCATTACCCTTCCAGATTTTTACTGAAGAGAAATGAAAGCATATGTCTGCACAAAGGTTTGTACACAAACGTACTGAGAAGCTTCATTTGTAATAGTCAAAAACTAAAAACAAGCCAGCTGTCCAATAACAGATGACTGGGTAAACAAATCCTGGTATATCTTATGAGATGGATGTTAGCAATAAAAAAGGAACAAACTGTTGATACAGGCAGGATGGGTACATCTCAAGATGCTGCTGCTGAAAAAAATGAGCAAGGTGGGAAACAGTGCTTTGGTATGATTCCATTTATACAAAATTCCAGAAAATGCAAACTCAGACCAGGCATGGAGGCTCATGCCTGTAATCCCAGCACTTTGGGAGGCTGAGGCGGGGGGGATCACCTGGGGCCAGGAGTTTGAGACCAGCTTAGCCAATGTGGTGTAAAATACAAAAATTAGCCAGGTGTGGTGGTAGGCACCCGTAATCCCAGTCTGAGGCAGGAGAATTGCTTAACCCCAGAGGCAGAGGTTGTAGTGAGCTGAGAGCATGCCATTGCATTCCAGCCTGGGCAACAAGAGCAAAACTCCCTCTAAAAAAGAAAGAAAAGAAAAGAAAATGCAAACTTATCTACAGAGATAGAAAGCAGACCGGTGGTTGCCTGAATGGGGTGGGGGTGGGAGAGACACAAAGGAACTTTTGGGGGTGGTGCGTAGATTCATGATCTTAATTTTGGTGATGGTTTCTCAGGTGTATGCCTGTGTCAAAATTCATCAAAGTGCATTATATAAATATGTGCAGTTTATTGTATGTTGATTATACTTCAGTAAAGGTGAAAATACTTTCCTGATTTTTTTAAAAAAGGACCTAAATATAGAAGCCAATGGTGTTCACAGTATTCCAGAAAAAACAATGGAAAGAGGATTCATCCTGGGAAATACTGATGGTGACTTCAGACTTTTCCTCCACCATATTAAATGCTGGAAGATGATGCAGCCACAGAGTTTTGAAGGTGAAAAAAGTTGTGATTCAGAAATTTTTTACTACTTCAAGTTGTGTTTTGTGCAGGAAGACAACAACAGAGGATTATTCACGTCACTCTCTCTAGGGGAAATGCATAATCATATACTCCAGATCATTCTAATTTAATACAAAAGAATGGCGAAGTCATGAAACAAAAGGGCCAGCATTTACTCCTCCCTTTTTGAAATTTGAGAAAATAACCTGAAATGTGGGAAATGACCTGTTTAAGAAAAGGTAAAAATAGCATCGGTTGGCTTGTTTACAGCGTGTACCTGTCATATGCATCTTATGATCTCTAACCCCACCCCAGAGCGAGGTGCTGAGAGCACCCCTACTCCACAGGTGTCTCAGAGAGGCTCCACAGCTTGCTTCTCAGCTGGATACAGCTTGGACTTAAAGACCAAGTGTGCAGGAGCTTGGATTTGAATGCTGATGGGGCAAATTACACAATTCAGGCTCTTAATTATGATACTCTACTCAAAAACTGGAAATAATGTTACAATGTCTGACTCAGAATATTATGTAGATGTAAAATGCTGTTTACACGTTTTGGGAGGAGGGTTGGAGTGAGGAGCTTGGGATCCGTATATGGAGTATGATCACAGCTGTGGAAGGAAAGGACAGGAACCGGGGCTGTGGGGCAGCATTTGTCACGGCAATGAACTGGGAGCAGCCTAATGACCATCCGTAAGAGAAGGCTAATAAAATGTGGAATTTTCATATAATACTAAAGTAGGATGGAACGAATAGATGAAGAGAGCCAGAGGTTTTTCTGTAAAAATAGCCAACTCCCAAAGACATGGCTGTTAAGTAAAACAAACCCAAAAAAACGAGCCAAGCAAAAACGAAGTTGCAGAATGATGTATTATAAATAATCCCACAAGACAGTCTTTTTCCATGGACACACACAGCTAAGCTACAGTATCACAAAGGGCCCAGAGGGAGTAACTCACAGAGGTGACTGAGGGGCAGGAGAGGCTCATGGTACTGATGACAGAAGCCTCTAAGGTGGGAGTGTGGATTTTTCCCACTGCTTTTCCATATTTTTTAAGTGTTAATTTTTTTCAGTGAGAAATTATTTTTCTTTTTATCAGAAAAAAAGATGCCAAAAACTAGAATGCGTCTCAATGTGGTTGGGAGAGAAGAGACACAAATATGAGAGCATCCAGGGTGGTGCCTGGTGCCGAAGGGACATCTTGTTTTCTATATAATGTGTCTGCTGGTGGACAAAGACCAGAGGTCATGTACAAAGGAAAGGAATGGACTGTGAGGGCAGCAGAGGAAACATGAAAAGCAACAAAAATCCAGTTAAGGAAGGAAGGGGAAGAAGAACACAGCAAATAGCTAAATGAAATTCCGTTTTATTCCTGCAAAACACCACTGGGAAGAAGTCATCTGTGACGCACAGCTTCTGTGCCAGGTGTAAGGACGTGCTTAATGAATGCCATTTAATGAAGAAAAAGGCTCTTATAAAACACCTGGCACAAGCAGGGTGTGGGAGTCACAGGGAAGGGGACCTTTGCTGCACCTGCTGGCATTTTAATAAGCACCTTCTAGAGTGCCCGCTCTCCAAGGCTGGTCAATGGTGTCAGAAAGAGGTCCCTGACCATTGCTCACACTTGCTGACAGTTTGGGGAACCTTATTTCTTAAAGACCATATGCTCAGGTATTGGATCGCCCTGGAAGGTAATTAAAATGAATCATTTTCAGCTGGAAGGGCCCAACTACCATTCGAATCCTCCTCAATGACTTCACAGCCAGGATTCCTGCTCCACATCCCTGCGTTTCCCAAGTGGGGCTCTGAATTACGATTGAGACCTGTGAAGACCCAGAGATGTGAGGAGATACTGTAATTCTTTTTTGTAACTTGGTTCCACTAAAAGAGAAAGTCAACTTTTAATCACTCTAGGCTCTAAACTATTTTCAATTGTGGTGATTTTTCTTTTCTCATTGATTTTGGAGCCAACCTCAGAGAGAAACCACCATGTGCAAAGTTTACTATCATTTCCCACAGTCTGATGAGTCGCTTTTTTGTTTCATTTTGTAATTGACACCAGCCAAGACAAGGTTTTGCAAAACTTAAAACAGACCTATTTCCTCTTCAGTTATATTCACTATATTATAAACTTTCTATGCCTAGACCTAACACTTAATTCCAAATATTACCCAATGAACACAACCCCATCCTAGGGGAGCTGGACCGGTATCAACAGGCACACAAGCTGCTACAACTAGGATGTGGCGACTGACTCAGCGTGCGTTTTTTCTTGCGCTCCTACTGTGTGGTAGGCACTGCCTAGCACCAACACAGTTTAAGAAACCAAATGAAACTTGTATCTTCCCCTTTAGGAATTTATCTATAAGTCAACTGAAGCACAAACATAAATCTCCTACATCACAAAGTAAAAAGCTCTGAATATCAAAAGATAGACCATAAAGGACAATATGGTTATATGCTACAATGTTAAAACAGTGGCATGAAAAAGAAATAACCAAAACAACAAACATCTGTTGAGAGTCTAACACATGCCAGGCACTTCATTAGGCCCTGGGAGGTATCCAGGACATGGGAGCCAGGGTCCCACCTGCAAAGAGCAAAGACTGTGGCAGGGGAGAAAAGGCCTGAGCAATGAAATAGTAATTCAAGAATCTCGACAATGGCCCAAGAGACGTCACGAAGCCAAGGATGGGCAACGGAGGTCCCAGGAGTCAGAGAGGTAGGAGATGGGATTTGACTTGCATGGCTGGGGGTGGCTTTCCAGGGGCAGCCAGTGTGAAGGCTTTGCTCCTGTAATTTTTGCTCTTGTAATTATTTAGGACTATGGCAGTTACTACTCGCTGGGCACCTGCACTGTTCCTCATGCTTCATACCCATCTCTAATCTAAACCACCCAGCAAGGGAGGTAGTACCCTATACATGGGGAAAAGTGGTTCAGAGAAGTTAAGTAACTCACCCAAAGTCATGCAGCTAAAGAAAATGGCTGGGCTGGGTTGTGTATTCGTGCTCTTTCCATCATGCCATGTTGCTTTACTGAGATAATGCAGAGCAGGAAGTAAGTGCAAACACTGACCTGTTCATTTTCCATTCAGGAAGCCCATTCGCAGTGATCAGTATAACTCCAACCTACCAGCCTGACTGTAGAATGGGTTTTCCTCATGGGCAACACACACACATGTGCGCCTGCACACACACAGACACACACACCCAACCAAATCACTCTGCATTGGACAAGGGGGAAAAAACAGCTGCCACTGGAAGATGAAGAAAATCGCAATTCCAAACTCCCCAAGTTCCTAAACGCATAGCTTTAAAGTACGTGCAGCTCCATGGCATATGGCAAATCAATTACTAGTTTAAATCTTAAAACAAAAACATGGCAAGTGCGGTGCAGAAATAATCAAGAACAACCGTTAGGCTTAGATTACAGTGGGCCACTGGAGTTTTGAAAACAATTAATCATCATTCCAGGCAATGGGAAGCCATATTGACACTTATTCCTAATTTGAATATTTAATTAGGGTGAAGTTCTTCATCAAATTACCGCAGAACTGGGAGAAAGCCTGGAAGACTTACACAATTACTATCTTAACCCCTTCCCACCTGCTCACCTGTGAGCACAGCCGTTCTAGTCCCAGATCCACAGGGGAGGATGCCTGTGCCTGGTCTCTGATGCTGTGAGGCGCTGGAGGGGGTGCTGGTGACTGGAGTTGCAGCTGCAGCAGATGGGAGCCATGTGGTGGCAAAGGAAAGGTCTAAGGGGATGCCCTGCTCATGCTCAGGCTCGGTTCTGCAATGAACCCTGGACACAGACAGAAAGCCAGCATGCACAGGTGCTCACCAGGCACCAGGGTGGTGCTTTCTGTGTCCCCACATTTAATTCCTGTGACAAATCCTGCAAAGCAGGCATTTTTATACCCATTTCACAGAGGAAGAAACAGGCTCAGAGAGTGATAAAACTCACTCAAAGTATCCCTGCCTGTGAGTGGCATAAAGAAGACCCAAGGGACTCTCACACACACACACACACACACATACACACACACACGTTATATAATGACATAAGTGATGACAATGAGAACATGCAAAGGCCCACAAAAACGTCTTCAAAGCTGTATTTTGGATTATCTGCACCGTGTGGCTAAATCAGAGGAAAACCAAAACCCAGGCCTCCTCAACCAGCATTCTAAAATTTAACTCCTGAGTTCAAAATGCATCACTGGGCCCCCTCAATGGAAGTCACGAAGCCTCTGTGGCGGCTTAGCAGAATGGTGGAGGTGGGGGCAGCAAAGCTCAAGGAACAGTCCCACAAGGCTGACTTGAGGCAAGGTGACAAGGTGGCCGTCCAAACCCCGTAGAGTGGGCCTTGAGAAGGTGAGCGCTGCAGGACAGGTGTCCTCAGGGAGGGGAAAGTCCACAACAGGACAAGAAAATGTGAACTCGCATTCCTCTTTTCAAGATGGTCAAGGTGCAATGATACCATTTAGAACTACATATCAACTTGGAGATTACGTTTCCTTAATGTATGCCTTCGCTATCTGAAAAGACTTTTACAAACATTTCATAGATACCATGTGATTCTGCAAGACCAAAAATAATACATTTTCCCACATGATCTCCCCCAAGAACTCAGGACAGGGCCAAGGGCTGACTGCGCACATGGCACTGCACCACGGTGGGTCCAGAGACCTTTCTGCTTCCAGCCTCCATCGAGAAGCAGAGAAGGAGGGACATCCTGATAGTTTCAGATTAGCCATTTCTCCTTAAAAGCCTGCAACGGGTTCAATTACCCTCTCGTGGAAATCGTCAAGGCTCCATTTGCAGTGGCCACTCTGAGCAGGACATGGATCGCCAAGCAGAAGGAGAGAGCCGCCCAGCCCCCTGCCTGCACCCGCTGCAGACACAGACCCTAGATCTGGGTCCACCAGGCCTGCCCCTGGCTCATTCGTGGGGGCAGCGAATGGCGTCAGGAACTTTGAAACTTTCCTTTGTATATTACATTAATCCATATAAGAAAATCTCTTTTAATGAGGAGTGATGTAGTTACAAACTCTCCAGAGCCATAATTAGAGCAAACTAATTGAAGTTGTGTTTTGACACACTTTCCAAATTCACGGGTGCCGGATGACATATTCACAACACTACTGCCGCACAACCATGGCGACGGCAAAATCATTAGGCTAATAACGCTTATTTGCATTCTTATCATGCCGGCGGCTTGCCCTTAAATACTGTTTCCACTACTGCTCTTTTACTGTAAGTTTCCACCAAAAGGTATTAACAGTAATTATTAGTACTTTAGTGGAATTTTAATGTTAAAGAATAACAATGTGCAGTAACATACATTGAATGGCAATTCTTTCTCTTAACCACCCATCTGAAGGTTTGGGGGTTCTTCCTTGGCCCTCACCCCAGAGCTCAAGGGTAACCAGATGTGATTTCAGCTTCATTTACAACTCAGAGTTCACACCCAGTGGGATCTGAAGTCAGGGTTTCTGAACTATTCTGCTCCAAAAGTTTGATGAGAAAAATCTTTCTTTTTTTTTTTTTTTAAGTACAATAAAATGAAATAGCTAAGGAGAAATTTTTTCCTAGCAGTTAAAGAAAAAAAATCTCAATTTACAACACGGTCTTTGGTAATAACACTAATGAATTCCAGGAGGACACGCTGTAGCCATTCCCTGTCACCCCCTCGCAGTGATTAAAGGCAGACGGGGAAGAACTCAGTTGAGAGGGAGAGGGTGGGGGTGGGGTCGTCGCGATCTGTCAATGTGGGGACACTGCTTGCCACCAACAAGGCCAATTTTGGGGATGCTTAACTCAGGCACTCACACACAGAGACGAAGACTCGACAGTTTCAAATAATGGTTATTAATGACGCCCTCCTCTAAAGTGACAAATTACTTCTGAAATTTAGAATTGAAGAAGTATGAAGAGTGAACGTGTCCCACTGAACATGACGGGAAATGCCGGCCAGCACACAGAGTTCCCACTCATTGTGCACTGGGAGGAGGGCAGGGTCCCCCCTGCTTTGGGCATGTAGCTGTTGTACAAGGCAGTGACCACAACCACCTCTCCCTGACGTGTCTCCCAGCAGTTACTGTTGGTGACCATGGGTACATCCTGGCCATAAGAATGCTCTTTGGGTGAGAGGCATAAAATGTTGGTGCGTTGTATCAAGAAGTGAGACCTGGTCCCAACCTGGGGTTGGGTTAGATATTTGCTCAGATCCTTGGCTTCTGTAAATATCTTGGGGGCAAGTAAAGCCTCCACTACGTCACTAACCACTGATAATCCAAGAGAAAATGTCTTAACTAAAAATACACACTTGTGTTGAATTTCAAACTACTCAAGTGTACATTTCAGGATGAATGCCTGATCTCAGCCTAGGAAGATTTAAATGAGTGAAGAAAATGCTTCCGCAGAAAAATGTCAAAAATGTCATACTGCTTTAAAGCATGGGAGTTTTCAGTTTCCTTGTACCAATCTGCTGTTTTTCAAGTCACTGATTACTTAATAAAAAAAAAAAAAGATGAAGAAAGGAAACTGACTTTCATAGCCGCAGCAACACTCCAAATCATGGTATTTATTCTCTACATTTAAGTTTTATTACACTTGAACCTTGCAATGCCAAAACACCTACCTCCCATATAAAAGAAATGAAGAAAAAAGCCAAGTCTGGGACCAGGGGCACCACACTTCCATTCCAGATGATCTAGTCTAATCTTATAAACTGAAATATTTAAAGAGTCTCTAAACCTCGCTGACCTTACTTTTAAAAACAAGGAACATATGGGCACCGCTAGCTTTTCATCTTCTTCCAGCCTACTAAAATATCTGCTTTTCGAAAATTCAACAGTCGGGGGACTGCCAAAGTCAGATTCATAAAGGGCTGTGTGCATGAAAGCACAGGGCAAGCTGCAGTCTGGACTGAATACCGTACATCCTCTAACAAAGAGCCAAAGGCAACACTTGTCTCCTCCCTGCCCAATCCATCTCAAAGGCTGTGGAAAACAATTTGTTTAGCAAAATACAGCCATGACTGAGGAGGAGGTGGAATGTGGGCTACGGGCTGGATGGTGATTTTTGGTCCCATGCAAGGTCGAGCTCATAGCAGAGGGTCAGTGTTCAATCAGGAGGTCCTGAGGCTCCTTGGAGGCAGGCAGGGTGTTATGGTGAGATCTCTCCTCCAATCACAGGCCCTCTAACTCCTAACTCTCTGCCCTTAGATAAGTTATGATCTGTCTAAGCTTCAGTCTTCTCACTCTTAAAATGAGGACACAATTATTCACCTCACAACGTGGTTATAAAGAACATATCTGTGTGTGTGTGTGCGTGTGTGCGTGTGTGCATATATATATATATGTTTACACAATGCCTGGCACAAGATGCCCAGAAAATTACAGCTGAAATAATGATGATGATAATAATTGCACTTATTTTAATAATTATTATTAATATTATTCTTCAACTGGAAACAAAACATCTGCTGCCCATGAAGGATATTCAGATTGAATTCTACCCTACCCACTGGCAAAAACTGGACCCAAATAAACTCAAAAGGCCTTTTAAAAGTAACTGCAAGCAGAGAATTTTATTAAATATCCCAATTAATAATTGAAACCCTGCATTGAAATAGAACAACATCGTTGGGGTTGGGGGGTGGGTGGTAGTAAAACCCTGGGAAATATCGCTGGTTTAACACCCATTTTTACTTTATTTGGCAGCTAGATTTACACTGAGAGACCCAGGTGAAACATTCCACAGGGCTACCTGCAAATTGACTGTCAGCTTCCACTCTGATAAAAGGTAAAATATCCTCCTCTAAATGGTCTAGTTCACAAAACCGACCCTAAAGTGAACTGATAAATCTGTTCTGACACACAGAAAACTATTTTCATAATCCTGAAAAAGGCCTTTCTCCAAACCCTGACGCTGAAACCAACCGCACAAAGAGCCGTCGTGCACTTGCGAGCCAGACTAAGGAGGGAATAATTTTCCATTTATAACCCTGCTTCTTGGGATGGCAACAACAGAAAAGCGCACATAACCACCATGACCACCCAGAAAAGTAAGACACTCAGAAAGTCACCAAAATTACAAAGATAACACATTTACAAGCAGCAAATATCTTGTCAAAAATCTGACGTGAGAGCCCAAACGCCAAGGCCAGCTCCGAGGTGGGAGCTGAATTGACGAATCGTCAATTCTTCATTAAATAGAAGCTCTGACTTCCCAAGAAGCTGTATTAAAAATTAATATCAAAAAGTGTATTGCTCAGCCTAAACTCATCATTCATATCTAACAATACCGAACTGCATTCTAATGAAATTTCCCCTTCAAAATTACTCTGACACCAAAACTAAGTTTGATATTGGTCCAAGAGCAGCCGCCACTCTATTCCTGAGCATTCTGAAGATACTCAAATAACCTCACTCTGTAGGTCTCTTTCACACCACTCTCATGATCACCAGAATAAGCCACACTGCTTGAGCGCCCGCTTCAAAGCCAGGGAGGGATGGTGGTGCTGGGACCTCCGGGGCGGCCTCCACATGTTCCCTAAGTTGGCGTCCACAGTGCAAGTGTGCTGGATGCCGGCCAAAGTTCACACGTCTCCCTCAGACTGCTTAGGCGGTTTCCGACCAGAGGGGCCTCTGCCAGGCGAGTTCCCCACCCACACGCCCTGGGAAGTCTTCATTCACCAGCTGCTGGTCAGGAGCCTGGAGAAGCTACATGGGAAGGTGGCAGGGCCACCTGGATGGGCACCCACCTACCCAACAGCCCCTAGAGGCACATGCTTGGCTCCCTGATGAAAGGCTTTACGGCTGGGAGCCTCGTGACGGTCTACCCGCTAATGATAGCTTGCCTGCTTGAGTGGAGATCTTAGCCCTGACACTTGCTAGATGTATGTATGACCTTGGGCAAGGGATTTGACCTCCTCGATCTCAGTTTCCTCAACTTAAACCTGGGCTAATAGTAATTGACTCACAGAGCTATTACTAGAATTAAAGGAGTTGGCTGGGTGCAGTGGCTCATGCCTGTAATCCTAGCACTTTGGGAGGTCAAGGCGGTAGGATCGATCACTTGAGGTCAGGAGTTCGAAACTAGCCTGCCAACATGCTGAAACCACTGCTACTAAAAATACAAAAAATTAGCCAGGCGTGGTGGCGCGTGTTTGCAGTCCCAGCTACTCGGGAGGCTGAGGTGGAAGAACTGCTTGCACCTGGGAGGTGGAGGTTGCAGTGAGCTGAGATTGTATCACTGCACTCCAGCCTGGGCGACAGAGTCAGACTCTGCCTCAAAAAAAAAAAAAAAAAAAAGAATTACGGGAGTTATTTGTAAAGCCTTTGAACAGTACCTCATACCTAATAAATGCATACGTCTCTGCTGGATGGATGACGGATGGAAGGAGAGATGAATAAACAGATGATGTCCAGTCCTATGCATTAAACTAACTCACTTTATGCATCTAATAAACACTTTCTGGGTGCCCAACACATGCCAGCCACCTGGAATTCAGAGTTCTTTACCATCTTGGGGCCACACGGTTTCCACTGAACACTTACTGTGAGCATGGAATGAGATGACATGTTTGAAAGTACTTGCTCAATTTTGATGAACAGTGATGCAACATAATCATCATTGCTATTTCTGTGTGACTAGCCTGTTTTGAGGCTTTAAAGGAGAAAAAGGAAAACATGAGGATCTCTGTCGTCAATAAGCAGCACATCTAGTCAGTAAGATCAAACAGAAACACATGCAGCAATGACAGGGAATGGTGAGATGCCAAGCCGTGTGACGCAGGCAACTGGAGGAGGAGAAGGAAATGACACCGGCCAGCCTTTCTAGACGTGCTGTGGGCTACTACAGGCCTGGGTCGGGGCTGGCCAGGGCCAATCCGAAGCATTCTGGAGTCCAGTCTAACCCTTCCAGGTAGGAAGGGTCTGGCACCAGCTGAGATGCGTGGTCAGGGACAGAGCAGAGATGCTTTTGGAATGAGAAAGGTGTGTCCCTGAGCCATGGGGAGACTCACCTAATTAATTCGAGATGATGTAGGGGTGGGGGATGGGGGTGGTCAGATAACCAGAAGCCAGTGAAGGGTCTGGACTGAGGAAAAAGGAATATGAGCATGTCTGAAAACCCCAAAGCAGTTATACAGACAAAAAATGTAAACGTGGGCTATTTACAGAAATACTACCTGAGCCCCAGAAGCCCACCCTGATCCATCTCTGACTTAGTGTTCAGGTTTGACCCCTCCACAGGGCTCAGCTCTGAGACAGGGCTGGCTGCCAGTCTTTTGGGACCCACATGCGCAGGGGATCATTCGTCCCCCAGTGCTGATGCCTGTGCTCCCTGTGTAAAAGAACCCGTGCGCTACAGTCTTCATCTTAAAAGACAACAAAAATGTGTTCTGTCTTTAGAGTTAAAAAACGAAAAGCATGTGTAGCTTTAGTGTGAAGGAAGAAGAAATCTAATTTTTCTAAGTGAAGCCAGATCCATAGTTATGCCTGGACATGACCTGCAGAATGTCTGAAGGTCCCCATGCCAGAAAAGCAGGGCCCAAGCCCTCATCTTCTTCCTTTTTTTTTTTTTTTAAAGATAGGGTCTTGAATTATTGCCCAGGCTGGAGTGTGGTGGAAGGATCATGATCATAGCTCATTGCAGCCTTGACCTCTGGGCCTCAAACCATACTCTCACTCAGCTTTCTGAGTAGTTAGGACCACAGGCATGTGCCACCACACCCAGCTAATTTTCGTATTTGATTTTTTTGCAGAGCCTGGCTTCTGCCACGTTGTCCCGATTTGTCTCAAACTCCTCAGCTCAAGTGATCCTCCTACCTCGGCCTCCCAAAGTGCTAGGATTACAGGTATAAGCCACCATGCCCAGCGCCCCAAGCCCTCTTTTGATGGGACCAGGGAAGAGGGCTCCGTTGCTTGGCTCACCTGCCCCCAAACCATTTCTTGCCACTATGGAAGTGGATCTCAAAACCCATGTCACAATTTATTACTAGGGGAAAAAAGAGTCATCAGAATCACCCAGGATACACAGAACCCCCCTCATAAATGATGCACCTTACATGAAACCACAGATTTCAACTCCGATCCTCTGTGCTGAGCCTTCCCCTACTGAACTCTCAGGAGACACTTCTCACAGGCAAATGCCTCCAGCACCAAGCCTTTTGCCACTCTCAACAAACAGTAAACACCTCAACAGGAAAAGGCAAACTCAGTCTCCCTGATCTGTGTGATTCTGGGCCTCTAGTCCAAGTCCTCCAACAACAGGGCAGGTGACAGGTGTCATCTGGAGTGCAAGGACCATCTTACAACTGGAAATGGACATAAGGTAGCCGAAGGATTTGAGGCTGTCAAATCCTTCCAGCGGTAAACTAAGGCTCCACCCCCACTGCTGACTCACTCTATTGAGTTGATCAGAAAGTAGCGGAGTTGATTCCCATGTCCAGAGGGAAGGCAGGGTTGGAGAGGCCAGGACGTAGCATGGCATGCTCATGGGCTTCTGACAACGATGTGATGGGGGACAAGCCTGGGCGGCACGACCTGAATTCTAGATCACCACGGCATGATTTTTCCTCTCCTCTAGGAAGGGCCATTAACCTTTCAGATGACAGCCCCGGGATCGGAGTGACGGAACGATTTTTGAGGTCAGCAAGGATCTATGTTCTCAAAACCTGACATCGACATGCAAAAGTTGTGACTGAATCCTGGTGTCCCTGAGAGGAAGACTAAATGCATGTGACAGATCTTCTGCAATCAAAATGCCCCATTTCCCAGAGTATCTGTCACAGATTGATAACATCCACGCAAAAAGTTAAGTACAATTATGTCTGTCACTAAGAAACATACTTCCTAACCTGTGACTGACAACTTGCTGGGAGCTGACAAATTACAGGAAGATGACTGCAACAGCGAGCACCACGTCACCTCCTACGGGCAACCCAGGCCTGGCTGACACTCCGAGAGGCTCCCGGGAGGCTGCACCTCGCAGGGGAGCCTGCCGGTCAGGACTCAATGGCTGGGAAATGCTCTGTGGCTTTGGGTGGGAAAATAACACTTTGCCCCAAGACAGACGGTGTCAGGGAAAGGTCACAGGATATGCCCATGGCCTGGGGTCTGTGGGGAGCAGAGTTTGGGCCGTAGCTTCTCCCTCGGGACCACAGTGAGGCCAGCCCAGGTAAGCGGGAAGGGCAGGGTAGAGCTACTGGAACCACACATTGCAGATTTTCGAGGTGAGCCCCCGAAAGATGGATATTCACATAAACAAGAGATGTCCTTCCATGTTCCAGCCACATGGAAGGCAGACTGCGTGTTTCTGACAGACTCTGAAAGGGACAGAATACCACTCATCATCAGCTCAGGCCTGCCCATCCTGGACTGAGACGCGATGTCCGCCTCGCCAGGGGCCCCGGACGCTCTGGGAGGTTCGTTCCTCTGAGCCTGCCCTCTCAGGGAGGCTGCATAGCAGCACCTCTCCACTACCCACGCCTCCTTCTCTGACATTAGCAAGATGAGCGGGAGGGAGGCAATGGCTGCAAGTCAGATGCAAAAGCATCGAGGCGGCTTGAGGACCTCTGGAACCAAGGCTTGCTGCTCTGTGCCCTCCTTGCCCACTGGAGGGCCCTGGAGTTCTCTGGGCAAGGTGTCTGCGGCCCTAACATGGAGGTCTGCTGAGCCTGAATTTCTGTAGGTGGGGAAAAGGAATATGACAAGTTTCTTAAGTAAGGCGGAAGCAGCACTGATTGCTCTAATTCTCCTGCAGTCTGAAGGATCCAAATGCTGTCTCATCACCCCCAGCATCTGGGAGTGTATTACCCCTCAGGTCAGCTTCTTTGATGCCACAGAATTTTCCCCTTGGGGAAGCTGTCTTTATTGAGTTTTTAAAAGTGGTAAGCCTAAATCTATCTCCATGTAACTTCAGTCCACCTGATCTAATTCTGCCTTCTGGAGCCCCCAGCCATCTCTCTGCCCTCCGCCCCTTCCCCGCCTGGAAACCCTTCTACTTTCTCTCCTGATATTGACCTTTAAGACATCTGCAGTGGGCTGGCTTGCCTCCACTCGGGTCGAAACTGGATTCCTTAAACCTGACACTGGAATTGGGTAACCTCTGCCTGGCGGGGTGAGGCAGTGGACACACCCCAGGAGCAGGACTCCACTCAGGGCCTCCCTCCGGTACACACCAGGCTGCACTCCACACACCCACACTCTGAACTGGCCGTTCCACACACTTGGCTGCTAAGCCAGGCCTCAAGTTGGTTCCTGTGTGATGGATGTTTTGAACCTCAGGAGCCCTCTCCGCCTGCGCCCATCGCCTCCCATGGCTCCAGCAGGTCGTTCTGGCTGTGGAGGAGATGCGGAGTATTGATTCTGTCATTCAGCACGTCAGCTCACCCTAATGACTCTGCGTCATCTGCAAATTTGATAAGCATGCTTCTGATGTCTTTATCAAGCCATGGTTCCGCTGCTTGCTGAGCTAGAGGGCAGCAGCCCACCAGTGGCCTCCTCCTAGGTCGACCCAGAGCCATTCACTCATCACACTGGGGGCCTCTGGTGCTCCAGCCACTGTGAGCCCACCTGCCTCCTGGGGCTTTTCCAAACCTCCGTCCCAGCAGCTCCGTTCCTTTCTTCTGCTAGGAAGAAAGAGCCCTTTCTTTCTAGCAGAAACAGGTGATGCCCTGCATGTGAGAGATGGTGGAGGGGCTGCTCTGATAGAAGCCAGGATGGTGTTTCCTCTTTTGGCCCCCCTGCCCCAGACAGCAGCACAGAGATGAATCAGAAACCCCACCATCTGATCACATGCCTGAGGCTGACTCACAAAGCTGGGCCCAGCCCCAAAGAGGACCACAGAGATGCGACCGTGCCTCCGTCCCAAGGTCAGCCCCCTCCTGTTGATCAAAGTGCATGACATGGACGAGCAGGGGATGGAGCGGCCTGAGGCCCAGAGAAATGGAGGCTCTGGATCCCGGAAGAAGCACTAGGAGATAGTCAAGAGATGTGTGTGGTGATGTCTGTGTGTGAGATGAATTGTCACTGCATGAGGGAGAGGAGCTCTGCCAAGCCACCTTCTGCCACCTTAGCTACCAACTCACTGGATACAGCTTAGGAGCATCCCTCCTCTCCCTGGGGACCTGCCCGCTCCAAAAGGACAACTCCAAAGCCGGTGACACCACAACATTTTCTGCAATAACAGAGCTTCTGCAGGAAGCTCCTGCTTCTAGAGGCAGTTCCTGTGTTTGGACAGAGAAGACAGTGCCACTAGAACCATGAGGTCCTCAGGTGGATGGCCCACAGACACTGCAAAGATTTACCTTTTGTCTGAAACAAAGCTGGGAATGAATGACATTCCAAAAAATGGCAGGGAATTCTTTGAAACCGGAGTGATGACACAAGAAATGGAGGCAGAGCATGTGGTTTTGCCTTTGGAGAAGAACACAGGCTCAAGAAGGCAGCAAGATCTGTGACCCATCCCTTCCTAGGTACTCCCAATGGGCCTGGGCCAGGGCTCTGCAGGGAAGGGGCCTGCCACCAGCTCTGGCTTAGAACCGCGTTCCCCGCCACTGCCACAGTTGGACAGTAGAGGGTGCTGCGTCACCGTGCTCCCAGCGACAATTCACACCACACAAAAGACTGCACTGGCTGTGGTTCTCAGGTTAGTGGTTAAGGATACCTGAGAAAACAGTAGCAAGACGCAGACTTGCTATTACACGATATGATATCACCTAGGTAAAAAGTACACAGGAAAAAGACTTGAGGGAAATATAACAAAAGGTTATTAGCATTTGCTAGTGGGAAATAGAATTCCTGTTTTTTCATACTTTCTACATTCTGCCAATTTTCTACAAGCCTAGATTACTCTCGTCATCGAGAAAGACCCATGCAGTGCTCAGGGACCAGGGAGTGTGGAGGGGTTGCCAGGGACACATTTATTGTGACACTAAATACGTGCCTGGATCCAGGTGGGTGCTGGGGAGCTCCTCGGAGGCTCACGACATGACTACAACACCACACAGGCTTCAGATGACCTAGGAGCGCTCAAAGAACACTCATCACAGGCCCAGTCCAGGAGCCTTAGGGAGGGCTTCCTGGGAGAGGAGTCCTCTGTGCTGAGACCTACCAAACACACCTTATGTGCAGGGCGCACCAGGAGCAAAGGCATAGAAGCCTGGGGCAAGAAGGGAGGAGGAGGCCACCAGCACAGGTCTGGGGCTCGGGCTGGGAGAGGGAAGAGAAGAATTCCCGGGGCTGGTGTGCGGCCCTGCAGGCCCCACTGAGGGACCTGCTTTACCCTCTAGGCTCCTGGCAGACCTGCAGCACCTGGAGCACAAGCCCCAGCCACTGTTCCCCACCTCAGGGGAGGCGATCAGGCTCCTCCTCTGGGGAGTGCAGAGACCTGAAGCCTCACGGAATAAAACAGCATACTCATCCTTTCCTAGGTCTTCAGTGGTAAATGTGAATGAATAATCGGTATTTCATTAAAAAAAAAAATCAAAGCTACTGGATAGGAAAATAATAATAATAAAAAATCCCACAAAACCCAAAAAACCCCCATGGATGAGGCCCACATAGGTGTGCATCCTACCTGTAAATTACCGCACAGGGGAACTTGGGACAGGCAAGTGGTTTTTACTTGGAAGCATTAATGTACATTCAATTATCCTGCTGCACACTGGCTGACTTAACTCAGCCAAATTAGAATACATTTTATATTGACTATTTTGACATCTGTTTTATTTGGCAAGTAAAACAAAACTGATCCAATTTCCTTGCAGCCATTGTAAACCATAAACTGTACAGCAGAGGTGATAAAATACGTAAGCCTTAGATACACTTGGTTTTGATGTGCTACCCTCCAATTCCGCCAGGCTTCTGGTGGCCCCGTGTTCTCAGTCCATCTTGCTTTGGCTGCAAGTGACCTTGCTCTCACAGTGACCCGCAGGCTTCCGAGAGCACTCTCTCTGTTTTCTCTGAGAAAATCAGCACTTTTTCTTTATCCACAGAAAGTCAAAACCTGCCTGAGGTGGCGCCCATTTCTGGGCCCTTCTAGAACACATGATGTCAGCAGGGAGCAGCTGTAACCACTTCAGGGCAACTGCACCTGTGGGGGCTTTCCAGCCTCTGCCAGGAGCCCAAACTTGAGCTGACCGTGAGCACAGGGGATGGACCTCAGCACAGGTGATGGAGGACCCCCACATATAGGTCATGGGCTTAGCTGACCCCCCAGCACAGGTGGCACACCTGAGATAGCCTTGGCACAGGTGACAGTGACCCTCGGCAGTGCCCTCCAGGGCAGAGCTGACAGTGCTCTCACTCAGAAATGGAGAAACCAGTGCTGATGCAAGGAGCCAGGCTCACACTCCTGAACCAAACAAAGAAACTCAACTGTTCATCCTGCAACTCTGGAGGCTCATTAGCAATTCCTATCTTTTTATGCCAAGTGAAACTGAAACCTACTTCTAAAGTTTCAGGCAATTCCAGAGGTAGTTAAGTTTAAATACTGCTCTTGGTTTGTGAAACTGTCATAAGAAAGACCAGATTGTCTTTATAGAGGGATGTCCCAGAGGACAGAGTCCTCGGGGCTTCAGGGCCTCATTACAGCGCAATCTTCCAAGTGAGGCGGAGGCTTGGCACAAAGGAACAGGGTACAGAGAGCCGGTGGCATGTCCCCGAGGGCAGGCTATAGTGTGGAGGGCCCAGGAAGACCCACTGGTGACTTTTCTGTCCTGTTCCTGACAGATTTTGTTCCCCTATACTCACCCACGTGGAAGCTTTGAGATCCATTCTCATTTATGTTACATCCCTTAGTGACGCTGCCTCACGGTTCTTGTTTTATTTACTTTTGCAATCCCTTTCTCAAACTTAATCCACCATTGCTGTTTGTTCCTTGCCCTCAGTTTACTCCAAGTGATGCACAGGAGTTTTACTTGACAGGATTCTTTTTACAGAAAATGTAGAGACTTTTACACTTTTTTTTTTTTTTTTGAGACGGAGTCTTGCCCTGTCACCCAAGGCTGGAGGGCAATAGTGTGATCTTGGCTCGCTGCAACCTCTGCCTCCTTGGTTCAAGCCATTCTCTTGTCTCAGCCTCCCAAGTAGCTGGCATGACAGGCACCCACCACCATACCCAGCTAATTTCTGTATTTTTAGTAGAGACGGGGTTTCACCATGTTGGCCAGGCTGGTCTCGAACTCCTGACCTCATGATCCGCTCGCCTCGGCCTCCCAAAGTACTGGGATTATAGATGTGAGCCACCGTGCCCAGCCATTAGAGGCTGTTACTACCTCTATAATGACTGAAATCAGTTGCAGAGCAAACAGTTGGCTCTCCCAAGTTTCTTTGTGGAGACAACTATTTTTTTTTTTTTTTTTGAGACAGAGTTTCACTCATATTACCCAGGCTGGAGTGCAATGGCGCAATCTCGGCTCACCACAACCTCCGCCTCCTGGGTTCAGGCAATTCTCCTGCCTCAGCCTCCTGAGCAGCTGGGATTACAGGCACGCACCACCATGCCCAGCTAATTTTTTGTATTTTTAGTAGAGACGGGGTTTCACCATGTTGACTAGGATGGTCTCGATCTCTTGACCTCGTGATCCACCCGCCTCGGCCTCCCAAAGTGCTGGGATTACAGGCTTGAGCCACCGCGCCCGGCCGGAGACAACTATTAAAACTAGCATTTCCTGAAAAACTCCTCAACTATTCTCTCAGACCCAAACTACCCATTCCTTAGTTTATAGCTCATTGGAAAAAGAAATTATATGAAAATGAAGAACATAATAACTCACTAACCCTCCTGGGTTTCAAATGAGTTGCTAGTCAAGACAGAGAAGGAATTTTACCTTAAGGCCAGTGAGCCCAACCACATGGCTACACGGCACGTGTCTGTGTGTATCTAGCAGCTCTTCTGAATAGCAAGCCAATTTTAAGTTGCATAATCTGCAATTTTAGGAGCCTGTAGGACATGTACAAAATAGACTACAGCATGGCCTTTGCATTCATGTAACGCAGAGATTTCCAAGTAGATTTTTAAAAATCTCCTCTAAAGATATATTGCTTCTACAATTGTTCAGCTGTACTTTGTACTACTTCAGCAGACACTAAGGGGCAGTTTTCTAAAAGGTTGTCCAGGGACCCAAGACCACAGGACAACGCAAGACACCACCAACAAGGCCTCACCTGGGAAGGTTGGGGGCTGGGGTGGAAGCAGCTGATGACTGGGAAGGCGTTGTGGGTTGAGATGAGTCATGATTTCTTGGTACTCTGCCCATTCGATACCAGATCCCCATGCTGTTCAGTTCCCTTTAGGAAAAAAGAGAAATCTTCATGGCTCTGGGTAGCACAAAGCATTTACTTGAGTGACAGAGCAAACCAACTCATCTAAGAGTCATGGCCTCAAACACCAGTGAATCAGTTCTTACCCCCGATGTGAGATGGGTTCTACCATCTCCTTTGTGCTCTGGGCATCACAGCTCACACGAGGGTGACCTGTTCCATCCAGGCAGGCCTTGAGGACAAGGCTGTCTGCGTCACCCTCCCCAAGCTTGCCTTCCTGCCCCAGCTGGTACTTTCCTTGCTTCTCCAAACTTCTTGTTTTACCATTTCCTTGTAGAGTGATGGGATAATCCACATCAAGTCCTTTGTGCAGTCAGGAGAGACAGATAGGGAGATGCTGGCTTTTAACCATGAGAAGAATCAGCCCCCTACTCCCTAACACACCCCAATCTTAGGACGCAGCCTCTTCCAGCTGGGTGTCACCTGCCATCGGCCTCATTCTCAGGGTCAGTTTGGGAGTCATCTTCAAACTAGAAAACTCGAGGCCCCACGAGTCACACAACTAGGCGTGGACACCAAGGAGCCTCCCAGACACTGCATAAGCTCTCCTGTGACCTTCCTTACACAGTCACCACAGCCCCACCCACACCACACCACACACTCGTGAGTCCTGAGGAGACAGCCATGCTCCTAGGAATAGTGACGGGATCATTTTCACCATATTCAGTTTCCAACTTCCCAGCTGCCCCACACAACTGCGTCTTTGGGACCTGGTGTAGAGGAATATAATCTCTTCAAAAAATGGAAAAAGACTCATTCTGTGGGAACCCCTAATAAGCTTCTCAGAACACCACAGGAACCATGTAAAACCACAATCTTGTCTTCTTAGCTGAGTGATTCCAACCAGCTGCACTGATTTCTCCACATCTGGGCCATGGCCTCCAGCTGCCAGGCTTTGGAGGTGCTATTTGGAGTATGAATTTTCTCTCTTCCCCAGCTGATAGTCCCACTCTTGCAAAGTAACATGTAGAGCTGTGCCTGCTTTTAAGAATAAGTGACTTAGAGTTCTGAATACTGAATTTGAAATTTCCTTGCTTAAAAATAACACTGGAATTGTCTTCCTCTGGAAAAGATTTTTTGTCCCAAGATGAATTAAAACTGTAGCAATATTTCCAACGTGATATCAAGGAAAAAAGGCTTTGGTTTTATCAAGGTATATACTGGTAAATATCTATTCCTTAAAATGGTTTAAATTGGTTAAAAATGGAATCTTTTTACAACAGGATAGTTTGTAATTAAAGATACACATAGTAACTGATATTAGACTTTAAAAGTTCATTACTAAATTGCTGGTTTCTGCCATTTATATGTAAATGGGTGCTTCTGAGGTGCCTAAAGTATGTTTATTCTCTTAACTATTTCCTACTCCTGTAGTCCTATTTGTAAACCACGCTGGGAAACAGGCTTTTTGAGTGTGTAGGAGGAGAGTGATCACAGGGTCCTTTTTAACCACATGATCTTGACACAGAGCACTCAGGTGCCTGAGCTGAAGACTCACCGAGGTGAAACTTATATGCATTTCTGTGGTACCTGCTCCCTACAGGCTTCAAGCAAATGCCACAAGGACTCATCTGCTTCTCTGTCCAGGTCTAGGCCTTCAGGAAAGGCCCTGGCTGATAAAGAGGCGGCTCTGGGCTCAAATGAACAAGAGCAAAGCAGGGTACAGGCCTGAGCCAGGAGGCCGGCCTCAGAAGCTAAGGAGGAGCAGGTGTCTCTGGGAGCCCACAGGGGGACATATGGCACTTGCCAGGCCTGGCTGAGGGGGTGGTAAACCATCTACCACACTGAGTAACGTGCACACCTAGAATTGCAGTTGACTGAGGACAGTGAGCATCTATTTCCTCTGTCAGCTGGCATCCGCTCGCCCCCTTTCTGACTTTTTACTTCCCCTCCGTATTTTAGGGGCAGCACCCATCATGCTTAGTCCTTGAGTTCCCATGGAGGTGATCCTACTTCCTGCTCAGGCCTGGTCAATGGAAGAATTTTCCAGAAAACAGTGACCAGCCCAGGGTGCACATGACCCTACCTAAATCAATCAAGACCAGTGAGTGTAAATTCTAGAACTTCTTTTGAACTATCAGGAACACAAACTTGCTCCTGGCCTCTGGACTTGAACCTGGATGAAAAGCAGGTGGAGCTACTGCAGCGCCGGGCCTCCCTGAGGCGGAAACACGTCAGAACAGAGCCCAGCACCAGAGCCAGAGGGAGACAGGGCAACCAAAACCCAGGGCTGGACTTCCAGCTCCCGCTTCCAGGCGTGCCAGTCCTGCCTCCCGAACTCTTCTGTCATGCCAGCCAACAAATTCCTCCTTTTGCTCAAGCCAAACTGGGTTGGGTTTCCTGTCACTTACAATCCACAGAGCCCTGGGTGAAACCCTGGAATTCCACTGTACTAAGTATTTATGGAGCCACAACAGAGCCAGGCCCATGCTCGGTGCTGAGGCTATAGGAGGAACAAGGCACAAACGGGCCCAGGCCTTGGCAGTTCCCTGCTTACTGGGGAATTATCATGCTGTGTAGCATTTGTGTTTCCTCCTGACTTGGAGCCCTCCGCTTGCTTTCCAGTGTGCTTGGAATGAACTCCAGGCCATGTCCCAGGAGGTCCTGCCAACCCTCACCCTTGTCCCAGCATTCTCCCTGGCTCTTGCGGCTGCACGGGGCTGCATTCTGCACCCAGAACATGGCCCACGCATTCCCGTGTCTCTCCTTCTGCTCTGCCTCGCAGGCTCTGCTTCACATCTGTGCATGGCTGGCTTCCTGACGTTCAGGTCTCTGCTCAAGCGTCACCTTCCTGACCCCCTCACGGAGGAGCCCGCTCTTTATCATTGTGTTTCACTCTCCTCACTGTCCGGAATTATTTCATTTATTTTCTTGTTTATTGCTCATCTGTCCCTTTTAGAACATCAGCTCAGTGACAGCAGGGCCTTTGCCTCACTCATGACGACATCCAGTGGCCTTGGCCCCGTGGTACAAAATAGGTCCCTGTGACCTTTCTTAGGGTGAATAACCGGTGCGGAGAGTTGAGGCCAGTGGCATCACAGGACGTCGGGGAAGGACCCAGAGGAGCTGCAAGGGTGAATGCGCAGAAGGGCAGGGGAGGAAAGGCCCTAAGGTGGAGTCAGCAGAGCGAGCCTAGACGCGGAGAGGCCGCAGCTGAGCAGGAAGGGCAGCGGGGAGTGCTGGACTGATGGAGGCCCGTGGCTGAGAGCCTGGGGACCGAGCGAAAACCTCTTGGACCTCATTGCCTGGAGTGCTCTGAGCGCTCTCAGGGAAGAGCAGCAGCTGAGATTCCTGTCATTAACACTCACCCAATAAATGTGTACTGAGGCGGGGCCTGCTTGGTCCGACCCATGATCCGAATGTCACAAATCGCAGCTTCTGTTGAATCCCGTGGAATAAACTTAATGCACAGCCTCTTCTTCCTAAAAGCCACTTCCTCTGAAGGAAAGGACAACAGAAAAGGTATAAGTTTTCCAGAGATGCCACTATGTCTACTCTGAAACCCACGTCCCCTGTCACACCCCGTTCCTGGCAGCAGAAGTGGCAGGTCACCTAAGCTGCTGGACAGAAGGGCTGGGCTCTGCCGCCTGCCTTCCCTGGGGCTGCAGTCACCCTGCTCTGCATGCAGGGGCCAACCCAGACACCCCCTGCTGAAGAGAGGACCACACACGCTGCAGTAAACCTGGTGGCTTCTAAGAGCCACAACCATAATCTGCTCACTGCTCAGCCATCAGAAACCTGCGCTGACGCCCCGCGCGTTCACATTTCACCACATGGACTTCTTTTCTTTTCTGCTTTTTATTACAGAAATCTTCAAACATACCCCAAAGCAGAGAGAATAGTGGAAAGAATCCACGTGTTCCTACCACCCAGTGTCAATACCACACAAAATGGACAAGCTGGTTTCCTCTCTTCCCAGCCCTGCAGTTTTGCTGGATACTTAAAATGAATCCCCAATGACACTAGGTCATGTTGCCATCAATATCTCAGTAGGCATCTCAGATAAACACTTCTTTAAAGACCACCAGGCCATCACCATTCCTAACAAAATGAACAGAATTCCCGAGTATCATCCAAGAGAGAGTCTCCACGCACATTTTCTCCATTCTGCCTGTGTCGGGATCTGCAGGATGACAAGGCGCTGCCTCTGGGCGTCAGGCCTCCCAGTCCATTTGGCTCTGGAAAAACCACTCCTGCTCCCTTTTATTCAGAGCACTGACAGGTTGGAGAAATCGGGTCCCTCCCCTGTGCTTTCTGTAGACTGACAGAGCTAAGGCCTCGATTAGACTCAGGTTTTAGGTCTTTTAGGTGCACATGCTGCCCAGAGGCACATGTCCTTCTAGCCTGTCATGTAGCAAGGCCCGGGGTCTGGCTGGGCCATTCTTGCTGAGTTCTGCTGGTGTTGGCCTGGGACCTTGGTCACACAGTTCCCCAACGGCCATCCTTTGAGCACTTTCTCACCCCCTGATGACTGTTGCTAAGATCCATACTTTATTAAGGTTCACAATGGTGATTTTTGAACTCTGTTATTCCTTCTGCCTTTTTATTTTTATTTTTATTTTTTTTAGATGGAGTCTCGCTCTGTAGCCCAGGCTGGAGTACAGTGGCGCAATCTCAGCTCACTGCAACCTCTGCCTCCCGCGTTCAAGTGATTCTCCTACGTCAGCTTTTTGAGTTGCTGGGATTACAGGCATGTGCTACCACGCCTGGCTAATTTTTGTATTTTTAGTAGAGATGAGGGTTTCACCATATTGGTCAGGCTGATCTTGAACTCCTGACTTTGTGATCCACCTGCCTCGGCCTCCCAAAGCGCTGGGATTACAGGCGTGAGCCATGGCACCTGGCTTCCTTCTGCACTTTTAAGCTAGAATCCTCCTATACATAACTTACCTTCATCAACTATTTGGTCTTCCTGAAATAAGTTTTATATAGGAAATAAAGGATAAGCACGTGATTCTTTTCTCTTACTTATCAAGCCTTAGAGTAAGAAGTTGGTCCCCGAGCAACCTCCAGTGCTGACTAATGGGATGTGTGTGTTTGTGTTTTTAAACCTGAGTTTCAACCAGCTGCAGCCATTTAATACATGAGTCAGACTGATCTGGGTTGAAATCCCAACTCCACCATTTTCTGGCCCTGTGACCTTAGGCAAGTTACTTAATTTCTCTGGGTCTTGGTAAACTGTAAAAGGGAGTTAATGAAACCCACCACACAGGGATGTGGGCTGGTTGCACTGTGCCAGCACATATGATCCACTTAGTCCAGTATGTGGCACACAGTAAGTGCTCAGTAAAGAACAGCTGCATGGAATCTTACTGTCATTATTGACAAGCAAGCCTCTAATGTGTAATTTATGCCTGTACTTGGTATTGGGTTTCAAGACCTTGCAGTTCTGTGGCAGGAAATGATACATTCAATAGCACATTCAAATTGAGGAACAGAATGAGGAGAAGTACAGTCCTGCCCGGGGGTTTTACTACAGGGGTGGGGTGCGTGGGGGGGAAAGAGGACAAGAAAATCAGTAGAATTGTTTTGTTGTTATTATGTTTTTAGTGATGTAAGTTTGTTTTTTAAAGAGTCGGATAGTGGGTTTTCCAGGCACAGAAACTGAGAGCAAGGGCAGATCTACAAGCGGAGAGAAACAAAGTTCTGAATCCCGACCCAACACTGCAGAACATCTAGGAAATGACCCTAGAACCGGAAATGAAGAGGCTCCCTCCTGCCCACACTCTTGTGTGACAAGACCCAACCTTGAAGTCCACACTTGGGACTGCAACCTGGGGGGTGGGGGTGGGCACTGTTCACAGCCACTCTGCACCTTCAAAGATTATCAGCTCATCAGGTTGGCCTTTGAAAGCGTGAAGAAGATGAGACTGTTACACAAGGGAAACTAACACTGGGTGTTTCACTTGCTGTTGCCATGCTGCTCTTGGCTCCATTCCTCTGTCTGCAGCAACTCGGGGTAAGAGATGGAGCCACTAATTACACATGCTTAAGCAGGCCTAATTTTAAGTAAACATATTATACATAGTCAATAGAAATGTGTTCAGTCATGCTAATGAACACAGAGAAAGTACACAGCACTTTACTAAAACAAACAGTCTTCCAGTTTTTCAGTGCTATGGATTACAGCAAACTATATTTTAAATTAATTACAGGAGTCTCCTGGTTTTGGCTGACTTTATAAAATCAGGGCCTTGAATACTCTCAAACAATACAGAGCTGACCATAAGGCGTATCTGGTCAGCGTGGGCTCCTCTGTCCCCTGGGTAAAGGCTCCAGGAAATGTTGCTAGACCCAGACATGAAGAGGCTCCCAGCCACCCACCATCCGGTGTGACAAGGCACCTGGCGTTGGGCTCAGGACAACCGCAGAGTCCACACTTGGGACAACAACCTGTGTACTCCCAGTTACAGGGGAGAAACTTCCCAACCAGGACCCCTTGGCCCCCCAGCAGCTGCCCCAAGCCCAGGCAGGACAGAGCCTCAGTGAACTGGTCCAATTAACTGAGAGGAAAATGCAGAATGGAAAACCCCTTGTGGCTCCACAGCATATCAATATAAAGACATTCAAGGTCAATGGACTGTCAAAAAACGAACACCAACGCAAATGTTAAAACTGAAAAACACGGGAAACGCAGGAAATCAATCCAAGTCTTTGAGACAACTGTAGATCTAAGCAGAGGAGATCATACAAATGGCCAACGAGCACGTCAAAAGATACTCAACGTCATTTGCCATCAGAGAAGGGCAAACAGAAAGCACGAGGAGATTCCACTTCACGCCCACTAAGATGATAGAATCAAACAGACAGACAATAAGGAAGTGCTGGTGAAGGTGTGGGGAACGTGGAACCTACGTACACTGCTGGTGGGAATAAGAAACAGTGGAGCTCCTTTGAAGCATCATTTGGTAGTTCTTCAAACATACCTAGTTACCACATGACCCAGCAATTCCATGACTAGGTAGATGCCCAAGAGAAATGAAAACATGTCCACACAAAAACTTGCACATGAATGTTCATAGCAACCTCATGCCTAACAGCCAAAAAGTACACACAGCCCAGGTATACATCAGTTGAATGAATAACCAAAATGTGGTATATCCATATAATATTCTATTATTTGGTGATAAGAAGGAATGAAGCAACGGTCTATCCTACAACATGGACCAACCTTGAAAACATTATGCTCAGTGAGAGAAGCTGGTCACAAAAGACCACACACTGTGTGATTCCATTTATATGAAATGTCCAGAATAGGCCAATCTATGTAGAAAGCAGATCAGTGGTTGCCTAGGGCTGGTGGGGAGTGGGGAGGTGAGGACTCTAGAGAAATAAGAGTGGTTACTAAGGGATATGGAGTGATATCCTGATAATGCGTTTCGGGGGTGATAGAATGTGCAATAATGGTTGCACAACTCTGCATTTACTAATAACCACCAAACTGTACATGTCAAACGGGTGAATTGCATGGTATGTGAGTTATATCTTAATTTTTTAAAACTCTATATATTAATATAAAAGATAACTGTAAAAGGTGCTTACACATGCTCTTCCAGTGTGGCATTGTGGTTAAAAAGTGTGGCTGGCGTTAAGACGTATGTGAGCATTCTAGTTATTCCTCCAGTTCTAGATGTATGACCTTGGCCAAGTTCTTTAATCCCTAAGTAGTGAGTGCTTCATTTTTCTCATATGTGAAATGGGTATAATAATGCCCATCTCTAAAGAGGGGTCTTCTGAAGATTAAATGAAATCAGGGAGGCAAAGCTTTTATCACAGGGGTAAGCATACAGTAAATGCATACTAAATATCAGCTCTTATGAATATCAGGTAATACATACAGTAACAAAAGACAAAAAGCAATCCAATGTCGAAATGTGAAGAGGCCATCAGGAAAATAAAAACATGCTATACAACGAGGTCTGCTGGTTTCATGAAAATAACAGTTAGGTGGGATGTGCATAGAGATAGAAACTCTAGTTCATATCGTATGAAGTGATAGCAAGAAAACAGCAAAAAATAGTGGGACCAAAGTGGGGCGAATTATGAAAGAATAAAGTATGAGACAGAAAATGAGACAGACCATTTAATTAACGAATCCTGCGTTGTAACAAAAGGATTCTCTGTATTTTTTGTGTGTTCACTGTTGTAGATATCCTAAGGTTGGCTGACAAGTGATTAAAAACGAAACAAGGTAAGTTATATTACACCAGCACAAGGAAGCCCAATTGCCAGAAGTTTTCCAGCACCATTTAATCACCCATGTGAGGATCAAGAAGCTCCAAGCGCTCCAGCACCGTGAAGAAACTGTGATTCCTCAGTAATTCACTTCTGCTCGGCACTGCTCAGGGGTCAGAATATTCAGTCCAATTCGAACCTGTGAACTTTAATTCACAGTCTTTCTGATTCTCACTTTTCTTTCTTGCTCTATGGGCCCCAAATGGGCACATTATTGGTCTTGTATTCTCTGGGCATCTTCTGATTGTTTTCTTTCTGCCTCCTTCTGGATCTTGTGCCAAGCTTGGCTTCAGCAACACCAGAGGCAGGACTAGAGACAAACTATATCCAGTTTCACCATTCTATTCCCCAGTGAGCCAATTCAGCAGGGAGCACCATTCTAAAAGAAAGGGATGTTCTGCTCATTTACATGCCACTACCCAGAATATCTGCAAACTCCTTGGAGAACTCAGCCAGACACACATCAAAAGCAGCAGGGTTTATTCATGGGCACGCAGTAAGTCCTCCTAAAATATTTCTGAAGAAAAATGTACATAAAAAACACCTACAAATATACCTGGAAGAAGAAAACCCTCATTGTGACGAGTGCTACTAAAGGATGACTCACGTGTGTCCACCGTCTCCTGAATTGGGATGAAGCCAACAGGCAGTGTGTCCTTGATGTCAATGAGCTTCATATCTACTAACACGTTCCCCAGATGACTCTTGGGAAGAAAGAAAAGAGATACAGACTATTAATCTGAACATGCCTGTGGTAGGTTTGCCATTTTGGCTTCAAGATGCATATTTAACACAATGACTTGTGCAGCTTTATGACAGCAGGTTAATTAGAGTAGGTGACACTTAATGTTCCCCAGTGGTTACAAAGGGACTCGTGCGGCCCCCGGGAAGGAGTTTCATCTGCGGAACCTCAAAGCCACTGACTCAGACACGGCCTTGGTGAGTTCGGAGCAACCCAGGAGATGCTCTAGACATAACTCAGCAGAGGGCAGCTGTGCTCACAGGTCCTGGGACCAGGCTGCAACTCAGCCCTGAGCATCAGATCTCAAGGCCAGGAGGTTTTAGAAAGACAAATTCCTGAGGCACTCATAGGGAAGAGCTGCACGTAAACCCGACAGGGAACCCATCACACTCCTAAGTGATCACCAGTCTGCATAGTGACACACATTTCAGTTGCTAGATACATTCTGCAAAATCCCAAGAATCATAAACTAATACAGAGTGAAAGCCCTGCTGCCTCAATATTACACATCTTCTAAAATGACATGCACCAGGGCCTCCTAAAGTTTCTATTTAGTGGTAGTGTATGGGGTCCACAGTGCGCAGTTTCTGTAACTAGTGTAAAAATATCTTTCAAAGACAGTAGACTATTCTGTAATTGCAAGAGAGAGCTCTTTGCAAACATGCTGGCACTTGCAGCCTGCATTTCAAGCTGGAAATGAGCGCTAAAGATATCTACCCTACAACTTAAATATGTGGGGCCTCTTTGGAGATTTCATCAAAATCTTCAGAGTAATCTGCAGCTTGGTTCCCCCTCTCTAGTCAGAGCCAGTTAAGGAAAGAATGATGGGTTCTAATCTCAAATCTCTCCTGTTAGGATACTAGCAGTGCACTCCACGTGCCCATTTTGCAGAAGTGCCTCATCCCCGAAGCCCAGCATGAGCATGCTCTCCGTTTACTTGTTCAGCATCCTTGGACAAGCATCTAGTTGGTCAGCCATCACTCTGCCCTGGACAGCAACTTCTCAGGCTGTTGTTCCATCTTGCTTAGAGAAGAAGGGCTGCTGCCTCCATCTCTGCGCATGGGAGCCAAGATCCCACCTCCACCTGCACTGTGCCACGTCTCTGAAATCCAAGCAGGGAGTTCTCATCATCTAAACTGTGTCATGTTCCCTCTTGGCACTTTCTTTTTCCCTTCCTATCAATTTGAGGGGTTGTTTAATATCTGTCTCCCTTCTAGAGTTTAAGAACCATGAGAACCAAAACTATCTCTGTTCCTACTGTAAATACAAGCCGAGCATGGTTTTTGCCACACAGCAGGTACTCAGCAATTATTTGCTGAATAAATTAATTTTGGGGGCACATTTTTCAACTGGGCCACTCAGAGTCAGAAATCAAACTGGAGGCCAGGTGCTGTAGCTCACACCTATAATCCCCACACTTTGGGAGGCCAAGGCGGATAGGGCGCTTGAGCTCAGGAGTTTGAGACCAGCCTAGGAAACATGGCAAAACCTCATCTCCAGAAATGAAAAAAAAAAAAAAATGGCTGGGTGTGGTGGCGCTCATGCATGTAGCCCCAGCTACTCAGGACGCTGAAGTAGGAGGATGGTTGGAGCCTGGGAGGTTGGGGCTGCAGTGAGCCAAGATCATGCCACTGGACTTCAGCCTGGGCAACAGAGTGAGACCCTGTCTCAAAAAAATAAAAAGTAAAAATTGGCTGGGCACAGTGGCTCATGCCTGTAGTCCCAGCACTTTGGAAGGCCAAGGCAGGCAGATCACTTAAGGTCAGGAGTTTGAGACCAGCCTGGCCAACATGGTGAAACCCTGCCTCTACTTTAAAAAATACAAAAATTAGCTGGGTGTGGTGGTGGGCACCTGTAGTCCCAGCTATACTGAAGGCTGAGGCAGGAGAATCGCTTGAACCCAGGAGGCGGAGGTTGCAGTGAGCTGAGACTGTGTCACTCCATTCCAGCCTGGGCAACAGAGGGAGACTTTGTCTTAATAAAATACACACACACACACATACACACACACACACACATCAAGTTGGGTTTGCTGAGATGTCAAATCTGAACTATATAATAAAAATATCTAAAGTACTGATATACACTAATAAATATAAAGATATATTATCAACCAAAAGTATACAAATGAAATAAATTATTAAAATTTAACTAGGAAGGTCAAAACAGCAAGTATAATCTATGATCAGTGTTTTTACGGCACTGCCATCAGGAAACCGTTTCTTTCTCTCAGAACTATCATGTTTGGCAACAATTAATATTCTGACATTCCAGGTAGCTGGGCTTCAGGAAGACAATGTACAGCACAGCCTAGTGAGTGGTAAGTGGGACCTCAGAACGCGGAATAAATCTCTGACCGTGTAGGAAGCGTTTGAACTGTTAACCTAACTTGCAAGCATCAGCTGCTTTCAGAATCGCCTGGCCTAATCTATCATAATTTTTTTTCATGGCAGTTGCTTTTCCATGTCATAACTGCTTTCTGCATTGAGAAATTAACAACTAGGTATGTTTTCCTGCCCTGCAGATGGATGGGCATTCATCAATATCCTTCCCAAATGTCTTCTACTTGACAAGTTGGGTTTTACAGAAGTCAACTGCAAACCACTTAGTGACCTCACCCTCCACACACTCTACAAATGTCCCTGATTTTAAAACCTGAACATCAGTGGTGCGGCCATTTAAAAAAAGAAAAAGCATGGAAAACCCCTTGCATGCATACAAGATGGGAGGCTGCACTGTCAGAGCCCCCCACAGCCCAAGTGTGGTCCCTCCTCACACAGGGCTGCCACTGTACTGGGTTTAATACAGTGGGTCTGCGACACCATTAATTTTGCCTGTTCCTCTCCCCTCCCCCATCTGTGCTCTCTTTCATTTCCTCCTCATAAATATGAAGAACGTATTCCCAATCCTTGTTGAGCAAATGATTCATGCCAAAAGCCCAATATGCACTGACTCAGGGTATTTATATTGTCTCTGGTAGCCAGTATTTGCTAGTATACTGTAATTATTTTTGACAACCTTGCATTTAAGGTAGCCACAGATAACCAACTTAATATTCAAATGTTCATAAATCCTTCTGTTTAATATCCTCCCTACCTAATCTATGTACATTATTATTACAGGTAATGCAGAAAGTACAGGGCATGAAAAGTGCAATTAATCTCGATCCTTCCCCAGGAAGCAATGTCACTCCAAAGCCAGGTTTCTGTATTAATAGCATTATTGGGGGAAAGGAATTTAGGTTCCAAAGGGGTCTCCCAAAACTCCTACGCTGGGAGTCTCAAGTCACCTAATTAAGAAATCTGTCCAGTCTGGAGATCCCACATCCCTCCTTTACAGTTGTAAAACATTATGTTCTTCAAAGTCTTGGTTTAGACTACAGGGCCAGCACAGACTGGCTGTAACATATTAAAATATTTGATTCCTCCTGCACTCCTGGGCTGGCAAGAGGGCCCCTTCCAACCGCTGGAACTCGATCGTTTGGATCCCAGTATCGGATCCATTCATTCTTTTTCCAAAAACAATATGCACTGCTTCAAAAGCGAGGCAGAGGCTTCTCACACTGCCTTTGTCCTATTCTAACATCCCTTCATCATGCCCAAGAAATATCTTTTTAACGTTCAACACATGTTGACTAAATCAATAGGTTTTCTCTAATACATTTACCCACGACACCCAATGCTAACAAGCCCCGGTGACTTGTCTTTGTCACATTCAAATCTGTCACTGTCCCCACTCCAAGGTATGTGGGGACTCCGCTAGCCTAGGTACCAACACACCACAGTCTTTGGGGTAAAATGCAATGAGAACAAAAATAAAAAATGATCACAGAGATCACGGCTGTCCTCGGGCCACTTTTAACTGAAGCCTCTTTGGCCTCTACTCATTTTTAACTGAAGCCTCTACTCAGCCTTCAGCCCACGCTTGGGTGTTTCCTTCGGCTGCTCAGTGAGCCGGGGAACCTGTGGGGACTCATTATAAGCTCACAGTGCCCTTGTCCATGCTTTAGCCTTGCTACCTTCCTGGTATTTAAAATATACTCAAATGCCTGAATTGGGAAGATTACCAGTCTTTTGTGCCAAGGTTTTCCCTGACTCCATTATAAACTCTGTACTTTACAATGAGCATATATTGCTCTTGTAATTAGGGGGAAAAAAATAAAGCAATGACTTTTCTCCCAGTCCTAAATATGTTCAGAATAATTCTCCTACTAAAGACTTAACAACAAACAACAGGAATGGGGGTACAGGAGAGTGCAAGCCAGAAAGTCACGTGATGGTCTACATTCAGAAAACACTGAGGGGACATGCCAGGACCCTGCGATGGACCCACCCTCTTCTCCCCAGGTGGCAGATTTCATGCTGTTGAAATGCTTTCCTCATTTCACGCTGTTGAATGAGGATATTTGTTATCTGGGTTCAGTTTTTTTTCTTTAACCACAAATAAATATTACTGTTATAATTTATAACAGTAAATAAATCAATAAAAAGATTTCCAAAAATAAAAACTGACATGACAAAGAGACAATAACATTTGACCAAAAATGAAATGTTAGCTCTGTAAATGAAAATCCCAACTGCTCCCTATTTGGGACTACGGAAGAGAAGTAACCTTGAACAAGCGTATCACCTCTTGGATCTCAGTTTCTTCACTGGAAAGAAACTTCCACTTGTAGAGATTATGTGCAGACAGAATGAGGTACCCAGGACAGGCCTTGCACAGAGAAGATACTCACTAAAGCTACTTCCTTTTTTTCTAATTCATCTATTAAAATACCTTATTAGATGTAAAAACAACAACAACAAAAAAACCATAGTAGATGTCTTTAAAGTTTCCTAATTTACAGGTGCAAGAATTTTTAAAAAGCACAGTAAGAGAAATCTGCATGAGTGGATACTTACCCACAAAAATAATGAAATGTGATATGTCACATAGAGACTCAAAGGGAGCAGAAACGTCACTGTGGAAGCAAGGGCATGATGTCTGTGGACGGGGTGGGGTCATATGGGCCCTCCCTGAGCCATGCTGCCTTTGCTGGCCAGCATTAAATCCCGCTCCACTGGAGAACTCTCACTGCCGCACTACCCTGTGATTTGTTGCTTGGAGGAAAGGTAGGCAAATGAGAGCTGGGAGAGAAATTTCCTGGTTTCCTTTTGAGAACACAATTTAATGGAATTCACGGTACACTTGGGTACATGGTTAATAATACTGTTAATAAATGAAACACAGTGCTGGCTGCTGATTCTACCCAGTTCCCTAAAACCACAGATAAATTAATATGGCAATGAAAATAAACCACAACAACAAAATGAGGAAATTCCAAACAGGAATGTAAATTACTTGCGCTCACTCAGCAAACAGAAACTACGACTAGACTTACATTTTCTTTGGAAAATGATCTTGTGAAACACAGGTATCTGGTAACCTTGGATTTAAATAAGCCGTCTTTCCAGAGGTCGGCATCCACACCATCTGCTGTCTGTGCAACCTACACCAAAGAGACAGAGAAAAGGACCGCAGGTAAGGCAGGAAGGAGCTGAAGGTGTGTGTGGCCACTTCTTCTGCATGTTCCAATTAACACGGGCCCGGGCTCTCCGGGCATCTCATTAGTTCATTTCACTAGGCACTGGGATGAGATTTTCCAAAAGGGGAAATGGGAAAGTGTGAAAAATACAACTTCTAAAAATACTGTCCCTGGGGAAGCTGTTGATTAAAGACGCCCTGACAAAAATGGTTCTAATGAGAAAAGAGCAACTTTTGTTGTAATGGACCAAGAAGGGATTGGGTAAGTCAGCACATTAAGCAGCTATTACCACTTACTCACAGGGGTGAAGAAAGGAGTCCACAGGGTGTGATGAGCCACCTGAGGGGCTGCAGTGAGGGTGACACAGCCTCCTGTTCTAGGGCCTCAGGGCCAGCTGGGTGCTTCAGTCAATGGGATTCTACTGGAGGCTGGGGCGGAGAGTGAGGTCAGAAACATTTCACTCTACCCTGCATCCTCTTGGTACAAGCCCTGAGAGTGGTATTCAAGGTCAGAAAGTGGATCAGGATAGAAAAACAAAAGAAGACTTGGTCCCTTGTTCCTAGTCTCACTAGGAAGCCATTTTCTCATCTGCAGCTGTAGAAATTCTCCACTAGGAAGTGTCTGAGAATGACACCAGCCAGCCTTGATCTGAGTATCAAAGCCCCTGTGACCTAGACTGGGGCTGGGCTAGGGGATATTCGAATGAAAGACCCGGCTTTGTGGTGAGAGCGTGCAAAGGAGATGGGAGAGGAGGAGGAGGCTAGAAGAGGGTGGTGCTTTCTTCCTATTTCTTTCCAGACTGCTCTGTGAATTGCTGGTCAGGGCTTGGTCTGTTTTCTGCCTCAGCCTCCCTGTGAGAGTATGACTCAACCTTGCATGCCTTCTGTTAAGCACCTCGAAGGGAGGCATCCAGAAAGACTGAGGAGCAGCACCCGTTTTGGAATAAACTCTGCAGGAAGTCTCTGAGCAGTTCACTTTTGGACTCCTTCTGGGTTCTCCTTTCGAGCTTTAGACTTTGGGATCCAGTCCTTGACCTAACAAGCTCCTGCCCGTCCTGACAAACTGCTGGAAGTGCCTCCATTCTTCACACAGAACTGCTCTGATGCGGCCCCATCCTGCACACTGACTGCAGGCTCTACACAGAGCATGGCGGGCCCCACAGCACATGGATGGCCTCTGCCTGTCACATGCTCATGGCGGAGGCGGGTGCCAGGACCCCAGCCCAGTGGGCTTAGGCTCCCCAGGACATTCCTGGAGCCCACCACAGCCACCCTCTCTGAGGCTGCCTTAGAAAAACCAAAAGGCCAGGAGGCAAAAGAAAAAATGCTTGTTTTTCAAACTAAACAATTGTAAATTAGCAAATATAACAACGGGAAAAGAAAGGCCCTTATGATAAAGATGCAAATATATTTGACCTGAAAGCTGAAGGAGGAATGGTATGGGGATAATTTTAGGAACTGTTTCTCCAAGTATGTCACCCCCACAGATAGAAACAGGATGGAATGGAGGTCGGCATTTTTCCCCATAATGGTGACACATAGAGTTTCTAGAGAAACATGAGATTTAAGGCAGTAGTCTCAGCTCCTCCACCACGAAGGACGTCCTATGCTTGTTTTCTCCCATGGATTCTATGTTTTGAAAGATTTTCTCCCAATGCACTTTTTACTGTATTTCCTCAATTCTAGGATGCAGTCATTTGGGGAACACCCCTTCACACACAAAAAGGTATAGTACCACACCCAAACATGTGTGTCTATTTTAAGATGCATTCCAATTTCGGAACCACTAAAATGTAAAAATAAAACATGCTGTAAACAAAAGGAATTAGGGAACCTCCATGGTCTCTCTATAATAAATGCATAATTTCTGATAAACTGTCTGCAGAACACTCCAACCACAAGCTGCGCTGGAAGACAGGGAGCTGTGCCTTTAGCCTTCCAGCAGACAAGGGCGTCTAGAAGGGCTTGTTTGGGTATCTGGGAATCCCACAGAGGCGGGTGTGCATTCTAACCCAACACTAGAAAGGTCTCCAGGGTTTGCCAGTGATGATTCTCTCCACTCACCACACTGCTAGAACCATCCTTAGTTTCTGAGTGAGAAATGAAAATGTAATGGGAAAAAGCCGGCAGTGTGGGCTCCTCTGTTTGAGCCTACACTTCACTGTTCCCCCAATCCTTATCTGTGAAGCATTAAACAAGGATGACCCAAGGCCCAGCTTTGACCTGGACCAAAACTCATTTGCAATGACGTAAAAGTGTGTAAAGGCATCATGAAGGAGCCCAGGGAGGTAAGGTGGGAAGAATGAGTGAGAGAGTGAGAGAGAGAGAGAGAGAGAGAGAGAGAGAGAGAGAGCACGAGTGTGCACCTCCCCTAACCCCCAAGGAAGGTGGTGCTGGGCAGAGCAGGGCTCTGGAACGGAGCCCAGAGGGCTGGATGGTGCAGGGACCCATAGCACCAGGTATTGGGTGAGGAGTACGATGTGGGTTCCTGGCTCCTTGAGAACACTGGGAAGGCGGCCCTGCTGGAACAAGGTGGGCATTTCTGGCCTGTCTTCCCTACAGCAATAAGATGTACTCAGGGGCTTCTTCCCAACCCGGTCACATAAAGGTGCCTAATAACCTAAATTCTTTCCATCCCAAGTCAGGAGAGCTAATGATCTGCAAGATAAATGATCTGTCTATGTGGCTGAAGTCACAACCCCAAGAGGATCCCACACACCTGACTCAAGGCAGGGTCTACCTGATGTTGCCCATGCCCCCCTGGTGCCCCTGCAGAAGCTTACAAGCTCAGCAGTCAGCCTTAGGTCCCAGCATCAGAAAGTTGGGGAGAGGTGGGGTGTGGGGTGGAGGACCACTTTGTGTAGAGCATGAGCAGCAAGGAATTCACAGGCAGACTTGAACTTGAGGCCCAATGGCTTAAGCCAGTCCTGTCCTCTGCAAAGTGGACATGCTGCCTCTCCCTGTGGGCATCACTGCCGGGGCAGAGGAGACCATGGACATGCAGAGTGCCTGCCTTAGTGCATGAGCACTCCAAAGACAGTGCTAATGTTTCTAAACCAAAAAAGGGGACATCTGCTCTGACAGCGAACCAAGTCTTGAAAGTGATGTCAGGCTACATCTGGATTCAAAAAGTCCTCTGTCGTCTGAGGGCTCAGCGCCAATATCTGGGACTAAATCTGATCTTTCCAAACACAAATGATATACTTGTACAAGGAACGTCTGCCCTCCTCCTGCTATCCCACCCTGGACTCTAAGTTTCACAGGGACAACAGCAGTGCCTGTTCTGCTTGCCATTTTAACCCTTGTGCCAAGCACAGTGCCTGACATGGATGGGCTCCATCTAAACTTGTTAAAGAATAAATGAACAAGTCAACTCCGTAATCAGGGCAGTGTGAAAAGCCACATACCCTGCCAGCTTCCCAAGTAAGGTAACGGGAAGTGTTTTAAATGAAATGTCCAGGATTTAATCATTGAGCTGAGCGAATCCCCTTCAGAATCACCACTCTGAGGCACATACCCATTTCAGCACGGAGGCCACCTACTCTTTTGGTTACCTTGTATGTTTGCCGCCTTGTACCCAAGACAACGTGAAATGTCTGCTGACTGCAGAACCTTCAGAGTCTGTTTCAGGGCCTCGCATACACACGCGCACACGTGCATGCACGCACATGCTCTTGCACACTCACACTCACTCACACACTCTCACAACCTCTCTCCTAGCATTTCTTCCCCGGGAGTAGGAGCCATCTCTGAGGAGGAGGAGGGGCCTAGGGCAAGGCAGTGGCGGACTGTACACATACCTTATCTCTCTTCCTGCCAGGATTCCTCTAAAACAACAATCAAGTGGAGAGTGCAGAAGCCTCCACAATGAAGAGCGAGAGGGGAGAGGTAGCACAAGGGCCTGGCATTGCAGAAAGCAGAAGGCAAGGAATTTAGCCAGTGGAGGGGTTGCGACCTAAGGGGCCCATGGGGGTGGATACTGAGCAGAGCCCCAGGATCCAGAATAACCAGAAACCAACTGGGGTGGGGACAGGGGAGCAAGTGCAAGTTTCAGGCTGAATCAGTGGGCTGAAACAAGGTTCGTAAACAAAGTGGTTAGACACCTGGGTGCCCACTTCTGTTTCAGGTGTTTTTTTTTTTTTTTTTTAGAAAGGAACCCAGCATGGCTCAGGACTCTAGAACACGGGCAGGTGGGGAAGGAGGTTGGAGGTCGGGAGGAGGTGGGGGAGGAGGTGCCACTTTAGAGTGGAAACAAGGGTAACTGGGTAACCGTGCAGGCACACTGAACGGCAATGGCAGGCCCCTCCCCACCACCCGGGCTCCCCCTCCTTCCTGCTTCCAGCAGCCTCCCCTGAATGCTTGACACTGAGGGCTTTGTCTCTGGAGAGCTCCAGGGTGGCCCAGCCCATGATCCCTGAGGCAGCTCCTGCTCGTAGCCCCGCTGTGCAGCCCACCAGCCAGCAGGCCCCCCACTCTTGAGCTGGTGCTTCCATCTTAAATGCCAACCCATAACAAAGGGTCACCAGGCACTGGGGACGGGCTCAGACACAACAGAAGAGCCAAAAATAGAAAAAAGGGAGCTTGAAGGAAGCACAGAGAATAGGAGGAAACAGTGCCAGCTCAGGACAGAGAACCCAGCCTGTAATTAAATCCTCAGAAGGATGGGTGAATAGACTGCAAATACCAAACAAGAACAGAATATGATGAAAACTTTTTCAAAAAGGAACACTTTGAGGGCAATATAAAGAGATTAGAAATTGTAAACACTGGAAGAGAAAGCTGAGGAAATCTTCTAGAAGGTAAAGTACAAAGATGAAGAGATGGATTATAGGAATGAAAACTGAAGGGTCGAGATGACATCCAACTACCAAAAGTTTCAGAAAGAATTTTTAAAATAAAAAATGGAGGGGAGGGGGAGCCTCTGTGTTAGAGGCCCTGAGTGTTTCTGCAACGTGGGTGAAAAAG